GTGGCCTGGTCTCTGACGCGAATTGACGTTACTCGGTCGTAACACCTCCCGGGCGATCCGCGGATACCGACCGCCAACACCGGAGAGCTACTACGACGACGACGAGTCTGTCTGTCTCGCTAGCGGTCGAATATACGCTGTCACGATACAAATACCGCACCTAGCGAGATTCCCTCTACGTCTAAGGCAGGGCTACCGGGTATATTGTCTATTTGACACCCCCCTCCCCCGCCCCCTCCCTCTCATCCCATCTCTCCCCAAAGTTACACAGCAACCAAAAAGCAGACTACCGAAGCGTCCTGTTTTGCGACCAAGTTTTCAGGACAGAAAAAATAAAAAAAGAAAAGAAACAAAATCATATAAAAGCTCAGCTCCCCAGCGGCTTAAACCCAAAAATTGTATTAAACGCAAAAAATGTAAAGCGCCGACACACAACATAGTATGGCTACGACGTCGTACCGCCGCGTATCGGTACCTTTGCCTAACACATCGTTACCAAAATTCACAGTTTATTGCGAATACCAAAATGTATTTCAAATTGTATCTTGGGTTAAATGAACGCCATTAAAAAAAAAAAAAAGGACTACCGGGTATAGCCTTACCGACGAATCCACCGGTAGTCCCGGGACGAAACGCGAGTTCTCTTTTCACCTGGCAGCAACTCCTCATCCTACATGTCGATACTCTAAGTACGAGACAAGGAGCTTCGGGTCCCTGGTGGAACGTGGAAATCGAACTGAAACGCGTTAATCGAACGTGGGTCGCGAGCTGTTTGAAAAATGGGGAAAATAAAACGATTCGACGTAGACGTATTGCTTGAAATCTGAACACATTCCGTTCCACGTTTCTTCGAGGTTGCTGCTCGACGATCTTCCAACTACCGTTGTTTGCAACGTATAATTTGTAAGTTTTTGTACGCACGGAAAGAGCCGCGGGTTAATTCTCGAAAACTCTCGTAGCCGAATTAGGTTTCGATCGGCGTTGCGTATTCGTTAGCGGTAACGCGAGACGATTCGACGAAACGAGAGAACCGAGCTGGATCGACGATCGGAAAAATTCGATTGCGCGTTTGATCGTTCGTCTCTCGTCCTTCGTTTCAACGGCGATGAAGGGCGTGTAACGTGTAACGAGTACGCAACATCCGGTAACGGAAATAACGGACGATGCGAGGGAAAAACGATGGACGTCGCACGACCCGCGCGATTCCGACGGCGCGCCGATAGGAATCGTCGCTGGAATCGGAGCGCCGGAAATAACTTCGACGACTTTGCTGGCGATCCGAGAAAGATGGTCTGGCCGAGGAATACAAAGAAACGTAGCGCGTGCAGGCAATGAGAGACGAACCGCGTGTTAAGCGGAAAATGGGCAATCAGCGAAGTCGCGGACGATCGAGCGTTCGCTTCTTTGGCTGGAAAAACGTACTTTATCGACGATAGAAACGTTTCGATGGTTTTAAAAGGTGCGACGAGTCTGTCTGGCGCTTCGTGATCCGACTGCAGAGTGGCAACACGGTGTACGGTTGGGAAAATAGTTTCGGAGGAAGAATTCCTTTGCAAATTCCTGACGTTTCTCCGCGTAGGAAAACGTCGGGAATCGTCGCTCGGAGCTTCGAAACGCCTGACAGTTAGACGAAAAGCAACGATCCGATTTGAATCGAGAATCGTAGACGCGTTCGAAGAGAAAACAGCGAGGAAAAATATACAGTGGCGGAAAACCGAGACGTAAAACGCACGGCGAGACGAGACGGCCCCGCGTTGAAAACGCCGAGTGGCATTGTTCTTGTACGGAAGGGAGAGCGCGGTGAAGGCGCAGGAAAATTTTACCTTCTTGTTCTTCGCCGGGACTAACGACCGTTTCGAGCCGCGGCCGGGGCGAGGAGGGCGAGTGGAGAAGCTGTTGAACCTAGGAAAAAGAGGGAGAGAAAGCAGAAAACGAGGGAAAAATAGGATAGGGAGGAAGGGAGAAAGACGGGGAAGAGCGTCAAAGAAGTTGCGGTATATGTACGTGCCGAAGTGGTCAGGGTCTTGACGAGCCGTGTTATCGTTCTACGAGCACCTCGATAGCGCAACAATCGTTAAACCGTCTACTATCGCGAGCACGACGGGGCTGGAAAAAAATTGAGGAAAAAGCAAGTTGGCAGGAAGTTGGATGCTCGCCGAAAGACTTCTAGTCGAGAAATCGAGGAATTTTCTTACTTTTCGAGAATCTTTCGTCTCTCGATCTTTCGCCTCTCTTCCTTTACTTACACTCGTTCTTCTCGTTCTTCTCGTCCTTCTCGATCGCCGAAGGATCGGCAAGCTTCTCCTCGTTCTGGAAATCCGCTTGTCGAGCGTTTAGCGTCGAGAAACTTTCCAACGATGGAAAATTCACGGGAGGAAGGCAAACGAGAAAATCTCGAGCGTTCTTCTCTCCATTTTCGCGATCGCGTACCCCGGTCGCGTATCGTGATGCGCGAAACGGAGAATCCACCGGTTAAGACGCTCGTCGACGTTGCCCGTACCGACCTACGCTCGAAGCGCTCGAAGATCTAGTTTGCCTAACTGCCAGACGGAAATCTCGTTACGCGGTTGGTCGAGAGGAAGGAGAATCGGAAGAGAAGCAACGAAAATGAAAGAAAAGCTCGTTAGCGAAGGAATACCGACGCGGATACGGACGCGGCCACGAATCCGCGCTTCTTTTCTCCAAACGTGATCGAGATCGATGGAAAAGAAACGAACGACTGGCGCAAGATTTCGCGTTTATCGGCTTACCGCGTGTTGCATTGCCCGTTGGTGGTTTTTCGACGGCGACGCGAACGCCCGACGTTGCGGTGCGGTGCGACGAAAAGTCGAGAAACTCGGCGAAACGACACGAGGCTCGTTCGTCGTTGGCGCCGTGTCGGATCAACGAGTTTATTTAATTCGAACCAGCAACGATATTAATTTTGCGCGGCGCCCGCGATACGAATTACTTCGTTCCGAAACGCTGTTATTTTCGCCGGGCCACGCGTCCGTAAAACCGCAGTCGTGTGCGCGCATTTGGTGCATGCACGATGTACGTGCATCGACGCGCGTTAATTTTGCGCGCGCACGCCTGTATAAAATCTACCGAACGATTAAACGAAAAACGCGTTATCGTCTCGCGTTCGTTTTTACCTGTGTGCGAGCATAAAATTCCTCCGTCGCGACTCCGCCAAATCCGATCAAAGAGTCGCACGGTCTTGGGTGAAACTAGAAACGTTTTGAAACTGCTCTTGTTCTTACGCGAGATCGGTAAACGATTCGTTGCATCGTCGGATAGCTGTAACATTTACGTAGTATCGCGAGAAAAAGGTCTGTGGTGGCGCTCGATAGCGAATACCACCACTCGACGCTAACTGGTGTCGAACGACGGCAGCGCGGTGGTTAGCGCCTTAGGTTGCGAACGTTCGGGACCCGGGTTCGAATCCCGGTGACCCGGAGTCGTCGATTTTTCTTCCACGATACGAAAAAAAAGAGAAGAAAGCGGACACATCTACAGCGCTACTAAGCAGCTCGCGATACCACATTTACGACCGATAGATTTCTGCGTTTCCGGGTCGGAAATTTCTCCGATGCGGATGAAACGTCGCGTGGATGATTTTTCAAAACGGTCTGGCGCCGTGTGGTATCGCGTCGATGATATTTTAACGATAAATATCCGGCGAATATGTGTGCGGCTGAGGCGAGTCGCGGGAATGGAAGACGACGGTGTTGTTGTTGCGTTCGTTCGACGAACCGTATCCATGAAAAAATACCGGCAACGTGAGTCAGAGGTGGTTTGGTCGGAAGTACAGAGAGGTGTGTTGGAATTACACGGAGACGTCGAAAAGCTCGGAGAGCATCGACGGAATGGACGCAGCTGGCAGATGGAGCGTCTGCTCGATATTCTATCTTTTCGTCCGTAACTATTCACCTAGAAATATCTGGTGGCTGCGTCCTAAAGCCTCCTTTATCGTCTACCGTTAACAGAGTCGACGAACGCATTTGCGCCGCCGAGCCACCGAATCGATACGATTTATCTCGTCGGGTCTCTCACAGCTTCTTCTTCGCCCTTTTTCTCGAAAACTGCGGTCGACGCGCTTCGAAGGGCGAGTTCGTAGTCTTCGCGCGAAAAGCGAAAAAAATGAATTTTCGCGAACACGTGGAACGGATGTCTGAGCCGCGCGAGTCGAACGAGCAAAAAGTGTTTTCGTAGCTGTACGCGAGCGTATTTTCATACGTTATTTTCGTGCCGAAGAGACTAAAATATCGACCGGCGACTCGCGACCCAGTTTACGTCGATTTTCGGACATTTTCGTTCGCGCGTTTCGACGAACGCTCGACGTACGCAGGAAATTTGCGCGATTAACGCGACTTCTTGTTTAAGCTCGCTGTTTCGACCTTTTCGATAAGAAATATGGCCAAACACCCGCCGCGGGGGATACGTCGCTCTCGAGACGGCTTGCGTCGCCTTTCCTTTTCTTCAACGTGAATTTTCGTCGTAGTGGCGGTCGTTGTATAGGTACGTGACCGACTTTCCGTCCGTTGCGAGAAATGGAACACAGCGACGGAAAGCTGCGAGAAAGAGAAAATAAAATGACAATTCGATCGAACGATATTTGGTCGCGAGTCCGAGCTATTTTGGATAATAAACGGTATACGCGAGAACGCGTTTCCGTTAAGCCGGAAGAAAACACATCGAAGGACGGAGAACGGCGTTTGCAGATAGCCGCGTATGCGGTTAGAAGCCACGCTCGCTACCTACGAGAACACCGGTAACTTTCTAAATTATTGCCAGCGATATATCGCGCGCTTTATTCCACTGCTTTGTTTTCCCACGGATCGGTGCGTGGTTTTCCCGGTAATCGATTAATTTTACTCGGGAGACAATCGGTTTGGAAAAACACGCGTAACTCGCGGGCGAGTTGGTTCGATTCGATTCGGTTGCCGGTAGATTTTGCGCAGAGGTAGAAAGCCGTAAAAAAGCGACTCTCTCTAATCGAAAATTTGCCATTTTCACAGGCATGCGACTGTTTGGGCATCAGCAAGGAGTGCGACTACTTTGGCTTGAAATACCAGAACGCGAAGGGCGAGGAACTCTGGTTGAACCTGAGGAATCCCATAGAGAGACAAACGGGTGGCGGCGTAGCGCCTCTAAGATTCGCATTGAGGGTTAAGTTTTGGGTGCCTCCTCACCTGTTGCTGCAAGAAGCCACCAGGTAAAAGATATCTCGAAAAACGTCGTTTCGCGCCACGCAACGCCGAAACGATCACTCTCCCAATTACCCAGCGATCTCGCGACGCGAGAGGTCGGCGATCGGTGGAGGACAGAGCGCGGGCACCGTCGAATCGACGTAACGTGAGCGTTTTCGTAGAATTTCGTCCGAGTGGAAGAGAGTGGAGCGCGAGAGACCGAGATCGATGGACGGATCGAAAAGCCGATCGGTCGTCCGTGGTTCCGGTTCGTCGTGCGAGTAGACGATCGAGCACGTACGAAATTGCATCACGGAGACTCGAGTGGAAGGTAGCGATTACGGCGGATAATACGGTCGGTGAATATATACGCGGATTATGTGCGAAGGGTATCGGTTCGAAAGAGGGTAAAGAGAGCGGTGCGATACGGACAAAGTACGGGGACGAGAAACTGCGACGAATCGCTGGACGTCGCGGAGAACGGAGCAACGACGCGACGCGAACAAAATTTGCGGTTGGTTGACGCGCGAACAGTTGCAAAGGCAAGCGGTCGTGATTAAACGCGAGCGAATCGGGTCGGGGTGGTAATTAATGGAAAGTGGGAGGCGGAGGATGGAACGAGTGCGAATCGAGTATGGACTCTGGGTAGGAGATTTCAGCGGATCGAAACGTAATTGCGATTTAATCGCGGTAGCTCTGAACACCCTTGGAAAAGGTAAACGCGCCAAGAGTAACGCGTTCGATGCGCGAATTAATTGGTCGCCGAGTGGCAACGTTCGTTAGCGGTGAACTAGGATAATCGCATCGGCCCACGCGAAAGCTCGCGAACCGTCGTTCGTGTCGGGCGTTTCTAGATTCGCGAATCTTGCCGAGATTTATCCTTCTCGTCTCGTAGAACCGTGGACGACGGAGCGGCCTTTGCGGGCGGATTTTCTACGAGAACGACGGCGTAGTTTCGATTAGTCCAAATCGATTAGTAGCTGAAAGTAGATCGGTTTCGAAAGTCCGGTCAAAAAGATCCGTTGGCCTTCCGTTTCTTACTTTCTCGCCGCCGAAACCCGCGCTATTCGCACGGAGAACGACCACGTCGGATATTTAAGCTCGCGGAGTTCGAGGTATCGACGTTAGCGAGGTGGAATTTTCATGCGCACGTGCGAGCGACAGTTCCGTTGGTTACGCCGTTCCAGACGAATAATCTCTCTTCTCGCGCAATTGCTACTCCGAATAACCGAATTGCGGAAGACGAGATTCGCTGTTTGTTGGGAGTGTAAATCAAAGTTGTTGCGACGCTATTGTCGCGAAATGTACCGAGGTTTCCACGTACGCACGTCGGCCTTGTTCTCCGAAATTGAATATCGCCGATGCCAGACCGTACACGTAGTTTCGTCGATCGGAACCGAGCTCGTAAATCGGAAAACGTTGAAGCGAGACTCGCAACGACGAGAAGATACGGTGTAGAGATACGGCAACGATAAATAGCGATAAGAAGGAATAGATTCGTTGGAGTTGCCCGACGTAATTTCCAGTTAGTCGTTCGCGAATAGTCCTTTCTGCGAGCGCGATCCAACTTGCCACGGGTCGCGGAACGCGCAACCAGGATCCATGGGTTTTCCAAAGCGCGAGCTGACCCGAAACTGCCACGTCGTTCTCGCACGGCACGGAAAAGTAATTGAAATTTACAAGCGAACGGGCTGTAACGAGAGAACTGTCGTCGAAATCGATCAGAAACGATCGCGGTTCAAGCCGTGAAATTCTAATTCGACGCGAGGCGGAACGTCGCGTCGACTGTTGCGAACTCGTTAGAGTTTTATACGTATATCTGTGTGTGCGCGCGCGTGCGTGTGTGTACAAAATATATACGTCTACTTTCGGTTAACTTCTTCGGGGGAAGTTTCGATATCAAACTATGTACCTTTGGCGTACAGGCGTTGGCTCGAAGTTCTCTAAATATCTTTAAATACCCAGAAGCTGTTTGCTCTTCTCGAAAGCCCAGAGTCCATAGGTTAAGCGGCCGGCCGGGTTACTATATTTGCACGTACTTCGTTGTATAAAGTTTTTCCGCGTACGATCGCGTCTCAAACGTCCATCGTCTTTCGTAGTTTGGCTGAGAAATTTACGACGCGAAAGAATCGCTTATTTTTCGCGATGTTCCGCGTTTCTTTCGTTAGGGCCGATTGTTCGTTGACGTACGGACAGGCGCGAGAATCGCTCGATGGCAACAAAGGCGGATAGTTCGATAGCAAATCGGAGGAATTACAGCGTTGGATGGACGTAGCCGCGTCCAGTTGGATAGCGCGAACGTGCGAGTAAAGTAGAATTTATAGCTGTCGAACGCATTGTTCGTCTACCGAGCGAAAGCGATATCGAGAAACTCGTTTCAAGTGTATGTAAATCAACGGCTAGAGAAAAATTTCGACGACGTACCGTTCGAAACTTGGAACTTCGTTGACGCCACGAGGTTCGAATCGCGCGAAGATTCGTCGAAAATTCGCCTTTATCGCGACGAATACGCGAATGACTCGTTAACGGTTAAACGATCGACCGAATATTTATGCGTTTTGACGTGCAAACCACCGTCGGAACGTATCTATCGTCGACGCAATGTCCTCGGCACTTTGAATCGCGATACTTTCGACGATCGCATAATCCGGTGATATTCGACTTGATCTAGTCTGGTCCGATCCGAATTGCTCAACACGGTTTCGCAAATTATCCGCCACCGAGAAATAGGACGAGTTGTTTCGAGCCTCGTGACGCGGATAAAACGCGTTTCTTTCTGAACGTTTGAACTCGTTCGAAGGCGAACCGCCTTCCGCGCGGTTGTTAACGGTCCTGCGAGAGTCCCGCGAACGTTTGGCAAGCTTGTCGTCGTCGTCGTGACGATCGTAGACGAACGAAATTAGAAAAACCGTTTGCCGATACGATCGCGTTTCTTCGCGAACCGCCTCGAAATTCGACTCGAAACTCGATCCGCACGCCACGAACGCGTTGTTCGGATAAGATCGCTTTCGTCGTGACACGGACGATCGATCGTATCGATAATCGCGCGTTAGCGAGCGGAGTAACTGGCAAACGTAGCGAACGACCCGTGTCAAAGTTGACTTCTCGAACGATACAACTGGAATTTACCAAAGTTGGTCGGAACTCCGCCCGTTTCGATCAACCGTTAAATTCGAGCGTGGAAGCAGCGGTCGTAAACGAAACTGCGTTCGCGCAGTTTCTCCGTCGTTCGATTTATCGATTTATCGTCGATACGCTATTAGCGCGTATTACGTATGGACGACGTCTCTCGTTACGGTTGTCGTAAAACTAACCTATATCCGTATATATTGGCATCTGTCACGAACTGCCGGATAACGTCACGCTGCTAGTTGATAATAATTCTTGCAATGGTCGAATCTGTTTATCCGATTGCAGGCATCAGTTCTACTTGCACTCTCGTTTGGAGTTACTCGAGGGTAGATTGAAAGTGTCGGATTGGGCTTCCGTGGCACGTTTGGTCGCTTTGATAGCGCAGGCCGACACAGGCGATTACGATTCGCTGTCACCACCGAACGCGCTCTACTCGCAATGTTGTCAAATTCAAACGGCGGAGTCGTGCGAATCCAGACCTCAGGACTTTCTCCATCGGATAGTTCAACAACACAAGGAGATCAAGGTTTGCGGCTATTTTTCTTCGCGCACGTTTCCTCGATTCTCCTCGTCGACGCAATTCGTCCACGCTTTCTCTTTCTTCTGTCGCCAGGCGATGAAAACCTCCACAGCCGAGTATTGGTTGCTGAAGGAGATATCGAATTTGGATACGTTCGGCCAGGAGATGTTTCACAGTAAATTCGGGTACAACGGAGTGTCGATGATCGGAGTCGGACCTCATGGTATCACGGTTTATCGTAATCACGACGAGGAAACGCAAAAGTAAGTAGTGGTTTTTGTCGTTGGCTAACTTGATTCTCGATCGGTAAGAAGCGCCGTCTCTCGTCCAACTCGTCGAAACTCGTCTTTGGTTTCGAAGCTTTGCTCGAGCGTTACCGCTTTCGACGCAGCGCATTGCCAGCCGTCGCGTGCGAACTCGTCGTTAGCGGTATCTGACGCGCTTTTACCCGACCAACTTTTTATCCATCCATTAACACGCGGTAGCGATTTTACGCAACGCGATTATCGTCCTGTTTGTTTTACAGCATACCATATACGGCGATACAAAGCGCAACGACTCAACGTCGAATGTTTCATTTAGTCTACCTCTCGCTCGACGGCGAGGAGACGTCGTTAAATTTCAAATTAGACTCGAGTCAATCCGCCAGTGGACTTTACCGGGCGATTACCGAGAAGCACGCGTTTTATAGCTGCGAGACGGTCAGGAGCGCGGTTACGGCGCAGTTTATACGCGACTTGAAGGTATTTGAAAACAACGACGACATCGACGCTCGACACCGACTCATTCCGTTATTTTCTTTGTACGTACAGGGCACCATTATCTCGATATTCAACGAGGATTCCACGTTAGGAAAGAAATACGTGTTCGATATTCGCAGAACGTGCCGAGAGGTGTACGACAACGCACGGCGCGCTCTCTACTGCGAAGCTGCGACCGTTAGCCTGCCGGAGGAGAAGGAAATTTTGCAGAAGCAGGATTGCGGAGACTGCGAGGATCCGAAATGCAAGGTATTTCGTCGTATCGAGGATATCGATCGAGAATCGGAAGAACGACCGATCGACCAACCAGAAAAACAACTGTTTCGCATTGTTCGATTTTCAGGAATCTCGAGAATGTCTAACAAGACTGTTGGACGCGATGCTGTGCCGCATTTGCATGGACCGTAGTTTGGACACTGCCTTGTTTCCGTGCGGACACGCGGTAGCCTGCTTGGATTGCGCCAGGCGATGCGAACGTTGTCCTCTGTGTCGAGCCGACATCGACCATTGTCGCACGATATATCTTCCGATCGAGCTAACGCACGTCGACAAGCACAATCCGAAATTGCTCTCGGAATCCATCGAACCTAGTTACGGCAACTCTTCTACCGAGGAAATTCAAAAGAGAAGCTTGCCAGCCGAAAGCTCCGTGGTAAACGGTGACGATATTTGAGAACGTGGTTGCAACAAGTTCCACGCTTCTCGAAGATTCTTCTCTGGAATCTTTGCTTGCCGGATCCAGAGAACGCATTGAGTTTTTCTCCCGTCTCTGTCTTTCCCTTTTGTCCTATTATTCCTTTGATTTGCTCGAAAATCGTACGTTCGTACGTTCGTGTTATCCGTACGACGATCAATTTTTCTTTTTTCCTCTTTCGTTCGTTGCAACACCGCAAAAACGCGAATGATTCGTCGCCACCGTGACGAAGAAACGCGACGTTGCCCGTAACGTTCGAAAAACCGAAGAATACGACTCTGTTTAACCGAGCCCGTTCAAAGGCGAATAATTCGTATAACAAGATCACGTTCGCTTCCTCGTTCGAATAATAAGAGTTTGCGTGGTTTCGTTCGACGGGAGTTCAGTCGATCGGGCATTAACTGAAATTTCGTTTCAATGAATCTCTCTCTCTCTCTCTCTCTCTCTCTCTCTCTCTCTCTCTCTCTCTCTCTCTCTCTCTCTCTCTCTCTCTCTCTCTCTCTCTCTCTCTCTCTCTCTCTCTCTCTCTCTCTCTCTCTCTCTCTCTCTCTCTCTCTCTCTCTCTCTCTCTCTCTCTCTCTCTCTCTCTCTCTCTCTCTCTCTCTCTCTCTCTCTCTCTCTCTCTCTCTCTCTCTCTCTCTCTCTCTCTCTCTCTCTCTCTCTCTCTCTCTCTCTCTCTCTCTCTCTCTCTCTCTCTCTCTCTCTCTCTCTCTCTCTCTCTCTCTCTCTCTCTCTCTCTCTCTCTCTCTCTCTCTCTCTCTCTCTCTCTCTCTCTCTCTCTCTCTCTCTCTCTCTCTCTCTCTCTCTCTCTCTCTCTCTCTCTCTCTCTCTCTCTCTCTCTCTCTCTCTCTCTCTCTCTCTCTCTCTCTCTCTCTCTCTCTCTCTCTCTCTCTCTCTCTCTCTCTCTCTCTCTCTCTCTCTCTCTCTCGTTTAAATACGTATCTACAATGTAATTGTAATAATGTTACACGATACATGTATACTTGTTAATCGAATAATAACAATATTGTCTTAATCCCGCGACCGAAAAGTGCTATTAGCAGCGTTGATCTTTGAAAAACGATGCTGTCATTGTTTCCAAGAGAGAGTAGTATATTTTGTTCTATTGAAAAGTTTAATGCGTCGTATATACATGTGTTTACTTTTATCGACAGTCGGACCAACGAGTTTTCTCATTTTATTTAAGTGTCGTTTATAACGCTTCTCGGATACTTTCGTTCCTCTTAGATAGATTATGTCCTCTTTTCTTTCGTTCTTTCGTACGTACTTCAACCTTCATTTAGATACGGCGGTGGGCCACTGGGGTTTATTAAAAATCGATGACCGTTCGTATTTTCAATATAGCGTATTCATTATGCATACGCGATATGGTTTATAAAACGACTGCTATAACGCTCCCCTTCTTCTAGAAGACGTTTCATCCGAGTCACTCGAATCTCACGCCACTCGATCATTAGGTCATCCATTGATCGATCGTTAGCGCGATAAAATTTTCTTCATTGAGAGCGACCCGCGATAATTGTATCAATTTTATTGTCACGAATGGCCTACGTAGATAGAATTTCCACGATCCGAGAAGTCGACAGGCCGACGACACACAGATACCACGCTACGAGTTATCTCTCCTTTGAAACGTCTTGTACAAGAAGGAAACCTTGTTACGGTAATATCTGTTTATATGTACATAAAAAAGTGAGATAACCCCTCGATAGGGTCAAGCGAGTAAAAGTCACGAGTTCGCCAAATGTCAAATCTGATTTAACAAACTCGGTGCGAATGCCATCTTTTAAGTAAGAGAATCGTAATAAAAGAAATGCATATGTTAATCGATGTGCTTTGCATGCAAAAGACAACTGACGTGACATCGATGATAGTCCGTTTCAAAGGTGCACGCGAGGAAAGGCTGTTTCCGATCAAAAAAAAAAAAAAAAAGAAAAAAAAAAAATAGAACGCAAATATCGCAACATATTATTTATATCGTCTACTCGCGAGACATCGTTCTTCTTTCTCGTCCTCGATCGACGACTCGTCTATCGTGCAACATCCGTGGCTAGCATTTCAGGAGACTCGAATGCTTGTCGAAACAGAGGATACCAGGGAGAACGAAAGTCAAAGAAATTGTTATAGTCATTCATCAATGCAACACAGATCTAGTTCGTAATTATTCATAAGGGAAGAAACAGTAGCGTTAAGTCGGCGTAGCGTAATCCCTTTTTTCCTGACATTCGTAGCGCTTCGCGTCTCTCATCTATGTATGTCACTTAGTTTGCTTTAGTATTTTTCTATCCTATCGTTGTTACGAAAATCGTGATTACGCTGCTTTTCTAAGTCAAATATCGATCCGAAGGGTTCTATGAAAACGCAAGTGTAATAGATATACAACAATAATATTCAAATACAAAGTTAAGCAGGCGTATCGGTGCATTGTATTTCTTCATGGCCGGAAATAAAAATATTTTCTTCAAAATTCTCCGATTACGTTGTCGACGTTCAACGTTGATGGGCTTTTATTCGTTGGATGATCATTTTTTCCAAGCACGCGCTATAAAAAAAAACCGTTTTATACGTATACATGTAATGTCGATGGTCCGTGGTCTCGAGGATGGAGACAATTTGTACCACCGTTATGCGTTTACTCGATATATGTAAGTTTAATAATAATAATTACAACGATAACATCGTTATGATAAAAAAAAAAAAAAACAACAAATATTTGTGATTAACTCTCTGTATAAATGCGAAGAAATTTCAAATCATTGTAATTGTTAGATCTGTAAGGTAGAAATGTGAGAGATATACGAGAGAATGGATTTTTAAGAATTATCATTTGCAAAGAGTATTTTTAAAGTATTTCCAATTATTTTTTAGTATTATATCAGGATTCCACTTTGATTAGTGGTGTATACATATGAGACCGATACACACTATAAAAAATAATTTTTAGCATTATAAAGGTACAGTGTCCCAACCTGTTGATTAAATATTATAAAACATCAACCGCTGTATACCCTTTATTCTCATTTGTTCCACATGTCTTCTCCCAATGTTAAAAACGGATGAAAAGAAGGATACATGCCGCGTCTAATTGTAAGTCGATTACTTTCGTGCAACGAAATCACTTTGCTGATATCGGAGTGTAGTTTGTCGTAAACGATTTTTTGTACTAAATCTTTTTATAATTTTTTGCGAGTTAAATTCAATGGAAAGTTCAATGAACGTGTACCCATTGTATCTTACACGCGAGATAAAAATTAATCTCGTACTTCTTTATTTTTCATTTTAATCGTTTTAGCGTACGTACGGACACGTAAATAAAACTTTGGTGGGTTTAATCGGACGGATAAACGGAATAAAGATGAATTTTGAAACAAATATCTTTCCGTGTAACCAATAAACAACAGGTTGCAAGTCTAAACGTATCGATCCAAGGATTAATGCACCGATTAATCGGCAGCCGGATCGTTTATTTATATTTAAACTTGTATTTCGTATTTTAATTTTTTCCGATTCTCGCAGATCCTACAATTCCATGATATTTGAACGACGCTTCTAAAATCTTTTCTTCGAGAAACTATCTTTCTTACGTTTAACGTTTAAATCGATCGAATTCGGATTAAACGATTTTTACGATGCGAATAAAACGGATAACAAAGAGCATATGTAGATAGAAAGCATCGTTTAAGTGGAAAAATTTTTAATGTGGCGCCAAATTATGCCGAGCAGCAGTTGAGTTAGGATGTGCGATATCTGCGCACGCGTCGTACATTTCAATTGGTTCACGCAGCGGCATTGTCATATGACGAAGCTGCGTGGCATCATGGGAAGCAGGTCGCAATTTTGCAACATGGCGGTGAATTGAGCCAAAGTCGCGGTCCTGTGCCATCAGAAAATGTATTTTTCATAGTCGAGCAACTTCTTTTATTGTACTCTTGATGTATGCGACAGTGTAGTACGGGTTCGGGTCGTGTTAGACGATACACTGTGCATGTAAATATGAGTGTAACGAAGCACAACGTTATTTCGAAGGTGACACCCCGCAACTCGGTGTGGTGTTCGACCACGTATGGCAGAGACTAGAATCCGAGATAAGGAAGCTCTGCTTCGCCTAAGTAATACGTATCGCCAATCAAAATTACCACCACAAAGTAGCGATGTGGTGGTTACCCAATCCGAACTGTGAAAATGTGAGTGTTTTATGTAAAACGTAAAGTGTGCATACGAAAGTGCCTGTGGGTGCGTATTTCGGTAGCGAGGAGAGTGCACGGATGCCTTGTCTGCGATATCCAACATCCCTTTTCTACATTTATTCCGTTTATTCCACCGTCAAAATTCCTGTAATTTTACTTTCAATTGTTCCGATTTTCGATCGTTTAATTCGACTGAATCTCGATCGCGAAAACCCGAATATACAAATTGGTTCTATTCAGTACGCAACCATTACCTTAAACATTTTTAACCGTATTCGTAATTCCTTCCCGTTTGCAAAAAAAAATGAAAAATATTCCACGAACTTCCCTGTATCTGCTGGTAACTGTGTTCTCGTCATTGAAAAATGCATAATCCGATCGATTTCTTCGATAGTGCTTACCTTTGATCCGTGCTCGTGTTTCATTCTTACCTGTGTGCTTAAATTATATTCCATACGAAATCACCATAAACACGATACAAACGGAACGGCCATCCCTTAATTTCTTTTACTATTGCCGATATCCGAAAAAGTGTTCTATGGTCGGTGTCGGTAAACGTCGATGTAGCAACGCTCCAAAAATACCACATGTTACGGTATTCTAAAAGCATCGTGCGTTGCAATACTTCTCACAAACGATAAGAGTGTACAACGGTTAACAATACGTCCTATTTACCGTTCGAAATAACCATTTTCTGAGCAATGATATAGCATTTTGGAAAATTTAGTTTGATTTATCAAGATGGCTTTCAAATATACATTCCAACATTTTTGTTTACTTGTACCCTTCTGCAACTTGCATACTGTTATGATTGAAATAACGTAGGTTTTAAGGCTGTATCAGAGTTGATCTTGTCTTATTACGACCAAACTTAATTAAGAAGAAGAAAGAGTCAATTTTGTCGATTGTAAAATTCTGTTTGTACGAC